TAAGTTGTATTTACAACACTGTTCCAGAACACTTCAACCCAAATATTCAGATGTGTGCAGCACATTTTATGGAGGACTGTTTACTGATCCTGGTAGAGTAGACTACAATGCCGGCTGTTCTGACACACCGATTGTAAGTACGTTTTTTATATTTAAACTTTTTATATTTGACAATAATGTACAGTATGTGGAAAATAATGTGTTTTTTGAACCTTAAACCACATAAACACATTTCATTACAAAAAATACACAAAATAATATTCTTTTTAGCAACATCATACGACCCCTTTAAAAAATAAGAATTTTCAATTTTGATTTCATGCCGACTTTAAAAATAACACTCTGAAATGTATTAAAAAATAATGAATTTAAATAAAATTAATCTTAGGCGTAGAACACACTGTGGTTGGCAAACAATTTATTTATTTAATTATAAAAAAATTTATAATCTAAAACAACATTAAACTTATTTCGTATTTTCTCTAAACCTTCTTGGATATCAAGACAGTCACCCTGCAATTCTGGCCATATTAAAGATACACTGTGTGTGAATTTGCACATTATAATGTAAGCATCATTAATGACCCCTTGTGTTTAATTAAAAAAAAGTCAAAGAATGATTTAATAAAAAAAGAGAATGACTAGTAATTGTCTCTAATTGGCCTAATTAGCTAAGCCCTCCATAAAAACACTTATTATTTAGTGGTACAGTATTGCATGATTTGTAGATTATATTTAATAATTTATTTAGTTTAATAATAATAGTTTATAGTTTATTTAACTATAAATGAGGCGATATTTGACTCCTTAAAGTAATTTGCAGGTTCAAAAACGCAGATTTATTCATTCAGTTTTTGACGAAATAGAGCACAATCAGGCAATGGTGTTCACTTAATATTAACTTTTGTATAATATCAAAAATGTATAAAACTGCTGTATAAATTCAATGTCACATTTGCAAACTTCATAAACATTAAAAAGCTGTCACTCGTCTTAGTTCATCGCGATCTCACAAACTTCCGTTATAATTAATGAAGCTCTCTACACTGCACACTGAATCTATTATTTACATCGTGTCTACACTTTGTTTGTTATAATGAGAGGATCTGAGCTTGAATGACTCAGCACTGAACAAAAACCGCAGTCTGCTTTCACGACCTGTACTGTGAGAAGTGCAGCGATAAAAAAGCATTTTCATTGGCTGCAGTCTGCAGGTATTATGGCCAATCACAAAAGACGGCATTGCACAGCTAGCCATAGACACAAATATCCTGCTACGTTTTTATTATATATTGCGCTACGTTTATGTGCAGAACTGGGATTGATTTCGTAGGCTATTGAATGGATAAAATATGGAAATCACTTTAATTTCCAAAAAAACCTAAGCAGTGGAAAGTGTAACGCCATCCCCCCTCGAAATGTACTCACCAGCCCTGCATATAAGCCAAAACGATGTCAGGCCTATATAATCACTCTTTTTTGTATGCATATTGCATAGTTGTGCTGGGAGTGTAAAACTAATGTCCACTCTTTCATTTGTGATAACGCAATGAAACATGTCAAAGTCATTGTTCTTGGTCATTGTTTTTGACCAAGCTGACATACAAAGCTTATTAA